ATTAATGTTGCCCATTTGTAGAATTTATATTATTGATATCAGTCATTTAGTCCACATTAATATGGACTGATCAATGTACATGAGTGAGTGTGAAAATGTACTGGGTGTTTTTCTTTGTTATCAGTAGTGTTTGGTCCCAATAACTCTATGGCCAGTAGCCAGTAGACCCTGCCCAAGGTACATCGGCCAGTAAGTGGCCTCCATGCAGTTTATAGGCTCTGAGAATGGAGCCAGAAGGGACAGTCTCAGAGACTGCCTAGGCCAGGGGTAGCCTTTGGCTCTTTGGGTGCGGCCTTTTGACTGAGTCCAAATTTTACAGAACAAATCCTTTCACTAAGGGGATTTGTTCTGTGAAGTCTGGATTCAGTCCAAGGGCCTCACTTGAGCACCTAGAGGGCCCCATGTGGCCTGGAGGCTGCAGGTTCCCCGCCCCTGAACTAGGCCAGTCCCCCAGAGGTGAAGGGGCTCACCCCAGGCCCCACAGGGACCAAGCAATGAAGATGGGATGGAACGCAGATTCTGTGACTCCGACTCAATCACATTTATTCATTTATTCCAAAAGTGACGGAAAACTTTAACTGCTTTTTCTCATGTGTGAAATGGAAAACTTTGTGAAGACCTCCCTTGAAGGGCCGGGCAAATGTGGAGAATGACATTCTTCTTTGTGCCATGTGGCCCAGCTCAGTGAGCACATGTGTTGGTGTGTGTGAGAACTGAGAGAGGAAATAATCAAAAAGAAGGAATTTAGGGAGTGAACCCTGGCAGTGTGGACACACCCTGTGTGTGCTTTGGGAAGGTTCCAGTGCCCTTTGGCACAGCCCAGCTCACATCTTGGGATTATGCCTCTGGGCTTTGCCCTGTTCCAAACCTCGAGCCCTTCATCTTGCCCCATAAGTGCATCCCAGCGTCCTTCTTGCTCTGCTCCAAAGGCCTGGAGATGACTCTCTGTACAGTCAGAGAGAGATAGTAGAATAGTGTATGGTTCAACGTCTGACAACCTGCATCCTCCAAAAGTGTTGTAATAATAATGGTGATGAGCATTTCTGTAATAGTTGTAAAGCTTGCAAAGCACTTTACATTTGTAATCTCATTTTACCCTCACAGCAGCCCCGGGAGATCGGTGCTTTTATTTTCCCCATCTTGGAGTTGAGGAGTCTGAGGCAAGGGCTACAGGATCTGTCAAGGGTAACGCCTCCAGCAGTGGATGAGGCTGTATTTGAGCCTCAGTCTTCCTGACTGCAGGCCTGGCGCTCTCTGCCCAATGCACCACCTCGCTGCTTCCAAAAGAATGGCCTCCTTATCGTGGGATCCGGAGTTGGAACTAAAAGGGAGCTCAGAGGCCGTCTTATCTAAGCCTCTCACTTACAGATGAGGAAACTGAGTCTCTGGGAAATTATAACCCATAAATTAGAGTCCAGCATAACCCAGGTTCTAAGTAATAGAGTTGGGGTATGAATCCAAGGCCAGAGCTTTTTCCCTTTATTCCCCACCCTCCATGAAGGGGAAAAGAGTGTTTCTGTCTTTTCTTCATCCCTGCCCACCTCACCGTTGTTTCTCTCCTAGTGACATCTGGCTGGTCCATTTCTTTGCTGCCTTACGTGAGTTAATGCAGGGGTATAAGAGTTTGGAAGTCGTACACCCGTGACTCAGTGTCCCCCGGGCCTGGCCCATGCTCTTTGCCCCCTGATTTATAACAGCAATGATAAATAAACTGATTATCTTAACCTGCCAGGCGAGCAGAAGGCAGCACCCTCAGAGGATCTGAGGCGAACATTCATTTTTTTCCCATGTCTGCAGCCCGAGTCTCAGCTTTCAAATGTCAAGAAGCCTGCCCCAGAATTGATTCCGCATAGATGATATAGAATATAAGACTTCCTTGATTAGACTGTAACTGAAGCCATCCCTCCTGTTTCTGCTGCTGTCTGTACCACCAGATAGACATTGCCCAAGGCACCTGCCTGTTATTAAAGCACCTGGCAAGCTTGGCTGCAGGAAAAGAGGAATTGGTCTCATTGCTTGAAAACGAGCCGGATGCAAGGACTGCTCCCCAAATGGCCGCTGGCTGTTAGCGACAGAAGGGGATGGCCGTGCTGTGGTTCCAATCAGCCTGCATCCAGCTGAGGCCAGGGAAGCTGTGTGTGAGGCAGCCGCAGCGGCCTCGGCGGGCCGGCCCCCAGCACCCGGGGTCAGGGGGCCACCTGGCACTCCCCTCTAAAGGCAGTCAGTGCTCCCAGGCCCGGCATGCTCTCAGCAGAGGGGGAGCGTGACTCTTTTCTTGTAGCAGTCAAGAGAGTGGCACCTTCCCTGCTGCTCCTGAAAGACAGGATGGATTTCTGTTTCTTTTGTTTTTCCACTTCTATCTCTCAGCAATTTGAGGGGCGTTCAGAGCCCTGGTTGACAGAGTCTTGCCCAGGGAGCAGGATTCAGTACCCGCTTTCCTCAGCTTTGAATAGAGTTCAGTAACGTGTCTCTTATTCCTCCTAACACTACTCGTCCAGACCTTTGTAAATTCTCTCATCCCCAGATGTCCATCCACTCCCTTCTGTATGTGGCAGCAGGTGATGGAGCAACAGGAGAGAGCTGAGGATGTCAGGCAGCGGGGTGGAGGCAGAGGGCTGGACTTGTTGTCACTAGGGCACCGAGTTCAAATCCCCCTCTGACACTCAATGGCTCTGTGACCCTGGGCAAGTCACTGATTCTCTGAGCTTATCTCTAAAATGGAGATATAGCCATGGTAATATTAGCTACCATTTAGAGAGGTTTGCAAAATGCTCCACCAATATTATCTCATTTGCTCCTCACAATAACCCTAGGAGACAGGTATTATTATTATTATTTTTTTTATTATTCCCCATTTTACACATGAGAAAACTAAGGCCTAGAGAGGTCTAGCTTGTGGATTTGAACTCTGGCCTTCCTGATTTCGGATTCAGCATGTCCCTATTTACCGCACCACCACTTTGCATATTTTATCTCTTGATTCTCACAACAAACCTGAGTGGGGGGATGCATTACTGTCCCCAATTTACCTACAAAGAAATCAAGCCCAAGAAGGATTCAGTGACTTGCCCGGGGTTCTATAGCTAGTAAGTGTCAGAGCCAGATTCAAACTCAGGTCTTACTGACTCCAAGCCCAATACTCTGTCCACCTAGCTGCTTACAGGTTCAGGGCATTAAAAAGCAGAAATGGAATGATTTCTCTCCAGCATCCTGCTAACTTTAAAGCACTATACAGGCTGTTCCCAAAGTCTGTCGGACATCGAAGCCTTTGGGGACAATCTGTGCACGTGTGAGTCGACACTTTATTATTACCCTAGGGCAAGGGTCCTTGAGCTCTTTTTTAAAAGAAGGGATGATTGGCCTTCTTTGTCGTCTTGTGCCTCATTCTGAGAAGGGGTTCACAGGCAGGGGCCACTAGTCAGCCCACGGGGCCCAAGCTCTGGAAGGAAGGAGGAGCGTCCCCCTGAGTGGCAGAAGGGGCAACGTGATCGGCCCATTTCCTTCCAGGCCTGTTCTAGGCACAGTTCCCAGAGGGTCACCAGGGTTGCAGGGTGGGTCTGCCTTGATTCCCCAGTTGTCGTTCCTGATTGAAAGTATACAAGGACTGCTTCAAAGGGAGAAAAGAACGCAAAATACTGGAGAGGCAGAGAAGAATGTCAGCCTCTATCTCTATAGGGATGCCCTATAGACAGGCTTAGGACAGAAATGTAGGAAACCGAACCTTTGGAGCCATGGAATGGGGATGGAGCCGGGACGTGAGGAGGAAGTTGCTTCTCTGCTTCAGGAAATAATGAGGAGAACAAAATGTCTCTCCCAGAGCATCCAGGACTAATCAAAGTGAAGTAGCAGGGGTGGGTGGGTGGCGGTTCTCTGCTGAGGAGTGACTGGCAGATAGGAGGGGGAAGCATGCCGATTCCTGGGAGCAGACTGATCTGTAAAGTAAGAAGGAGTCTCTAGAGACTTATCAAACCCGACAGCCTGCCCGCTTCTCAGGATTCATGTGGCGAAATGATATAGCCGAAAGAACAAGGAAGGCACGGCTGCACATAGAAAGCTGGTTAGGAAAATCCAGCCTGGAGGGGCGAGGGGATACGCTCCTGTCTTATGTCCCTCTGAGGCAGAGGCATAAAGACAGCAGGTTCCAGGAAGGGACCGGCAGGTTGGAAGATGGTGTCTCCGCACAGAATTTAGGGGCCACAGTCTAGGATATGAAATCATGGACTCTTATGTCCTTACCAAGAGGGTAAAAGTAGGGTAAAAATAGATTTTCTGGGAGCTGCAGCAGAAAACTGCTTGCATAGATTGGTCAGTCCAGTTACTGTACAGTGAGAGCAGAGGGCCAGGGGCTCCCCGGTTTCAGAATTCCAGGAAGAAGTCTGAGATGAAACCTGCATCCTCACACAAAAGAATCACGTCTGGGTAGTCAGCAAGGTGAGGGAAAACAAAACCTCAGTTTTAAAATGCGACCGCACAGGTCCCACAGAGATAGGTAGGGCATGACCGAGAACCGAAATAGGACCAAGAAGACTCTACCTTACTCAGGAGTTAGCTATGAAGAACACATATGCCTGTATCTCCTGCATGTTTTCAGGGCTCAGCACAGTACCTGGCACATAGTAAGGCTGAGTGACTGGCTGATTGGCTCTACAGCCACCTCCCTGACACGGAGAGTGTGACAGAACCCCCAAAACAGTCATATGTATGTGTATCTACCCACACACATGCAACATATACACACGCACACAGGAAGACATGCATGCTGGTGGACACGCCCTCTAGGTCATCTAACTGCATGTCACAAATGGGCCAATAGTCATTCTTCATCCACTTGGTTTTTCCTGGGTGGATGGCCACTTGTGTTACTGAATGAGAAAGGAAGTGAGTAGATGAGCCCTCGGCTCTGTCTCTGACAAGCACAAGCTTCTGGCCGTATTAAAGGAACCAGGCTCCAAGGAGAACACAATCATGTTCACTAATCACCTGCTTTGCTATCAATGCAGATGCCGGAATTCCAGAAAAGCACAGTTCACATCAAGAACCCAGCCAAAGTGGAAGAGATCCTCTGTGGCCTGATTAAAGGAGGGGCTGCCAAACTCCAGGTGAGGCATGAGGAGCCATGATCACCTTGACTATCGAGTTCAGTCGCCCTTGTGACATGAGTGTTGAATAAGAAACAGATTTAAACAACCATCTCAAAGACAGCTCTACAGTTGGTCCAAAGTTCATTGGTATCCCTCAGTGAGAAACAAAAGTAAAAAATTAATAGATGTGAAATTAATTCAGTTTATCTTTGCTCTTGAAGGTGTAAGGTTAACTAGTTGCCAAGACAGTCGCTAAGCTCCTCCTTTCCTGGGCTCACAAACAGACATCCAAAGGTTTCCGAGTCACTTTTTCAATCTTTGAATTGAAAACACAGCTTGGTGGTTTTCATAACAAAGACAGTCTCTTGTGATAGGTATGAGTGGAGGACAAACACAGTTCTGACCTGCGTGAATGCACTCACTTTTCTTCAAATTTATGACCAAGTGATTTTGGCCAAATGTCTGAAGTACCATTAAACCTGTAGTCATCAGTGTCACGGTTCTGCCTTTTCCCACTAATATATTTATATTCTTGTTTTCCAAAGGCAAAGATCTTACCACAAAACACCCAACTCAGATGAGTTTTCATTACTAGACCAAGTACTTTGAGGGGGTCAGTTTAGTGACAGGATGCCCACCTTGAGTTCTATCTATTCTCAATGAAAAGACTAGGGGCTGCCCCCGGACCCCAAACAACGCTCTGTGTCCTGTCCCCTCTCACATCCCCCACTTATATTCTCTTTAGGCCAAGATTAGCACATTTCTGAGCCCTCCACCAAGATTTGGACAGTCATCTTCTCTGTTCCATGGGGAAGGGGCTCTAGAAATGTCTAGAGGGTGGTGGAGAGAGCAAAAGAAGATGCAGGACACTGGAGAAGCTAGCATGTTTTGTGTCTGAGATTTTTATTGTAGGTAATGCTTTTTCTTATTCCTCTTCTCTTACAGATAATTACAGACTTTGATATGACATTAAGCAGATTTTCCTACAATGGAAAAAGATGCCCAACATCTCATAGTAAGTTTGGGGTACATATTTCCAAAGAACTTTAGACACTCAGGCTGGGTAAAAATTTATTCCAGTACAATTAGTAAACCATGGGATGTGTGTGTGTGTGTGTGTGCGTGTGGTGTGTAAATGTGATTTTTTTTTTACCCTTTTGTGGTATTTTGATAATCACAAGAGACAATTACTATTCCTTCATTATGTTAGTGGTCATTTGCATGTACAATGAGGCCAAAAAGAGGCACATATAGGTGACCTTTGCCTCTTCATTTTCCAGAAACTAAATGTATAAGCATATTGGCTGAAATCCAGAGTTTAAAATACAATGTTCATTGATCCTTTTTCACTGAGTGTTGGGGGTAGTGGCGGGGTAGGGAATAGGAAGGATGCTGTGGGATTAATAAGGATGGGGTCGTAAGACTGCTGAAGGCCATTGAGCTCAGTAATAGCAATAATCTGTTACCAGTGTACATCTCTGAAATGATGGATGGACACTTCATTTGTAATGGGGCCCAACTGGCTATGGGAGCGAAGCGGGAGATTTCTTTGAGCATTTCAGCTTTGTCAAAGATATCATCAGACCCAAAGCCAGGAGAATTAGCGATTCACTGACAAATCATTTGGTTTTCTCTTTTTAGATATCATTGACAATTGTAAACTGGTTACAGATGAATGTCGAAAGAAGGTAAATGGTAGCCGCAACAGCTGTCAGCCCAAATTATTTTTTCTTCCTGTAGCTGCTTTTCTGTAATTTGTATTTCTTATACATTTAGCCTGGTTTCTGTTTTTAGCACACTTTACTGTAGCACACCCATTACCAGGAGCTCACTCATGATGAGAGCAAATTCCAATAAAAATGGAAAAGCGCAGCTGTGCGTCTGTGCCCAAATATCCTGCAAAGCACAACAAGACCACTGGAGTCTGGGTGACTTTGGGGCTCTCCCCTTTTGGGGTACTCCTGTGAGCCAGTGTTCTGGCTTTTGGCAGCTGGTGAAGCCCACTGGCCCCTTCCCAGAAACCAGCTTTTACCATGCAGAGGAGTGCAAAGAAAACTACTTGTATTGAAATAAAGTCAAAGAACAAGTTAATTGACCCCCCCCCCCAGGTAAGAACCCTGGCCTTAAAGTATCCAGAAAATTCCTCAGGTCTCTCCTTCACTGTCAGTATTTACGTGTCGGTGTAGACCTAGTCCCAAGACCTCAATCTGAGCCAAGTTTAGTATTCCCAAATGAAATCCTAAGTCTTTTAATTCTAGAACTTGATTTAAAAAGTAAAAATCTTAATGTAAAAGAAGAAAGCTGGCTTTGGAGTAGAGCACACATGAAGTATTGATCAGCTCAGATCCCCACTTAGCACAGTGCCTGGCACATAGGAGGCACTTATTAAGTGTTCATTGACTAACCGTCTAACCTGCAGGCCTATGCTTTGCTGGGTTTGCTGGGAAGTGGTACTTTACTCTGTGCTTATAGGATAATCTGATTTTCCTTACATGTTTTACATGTTTTAAAGTACCTTTGTATGATTGCCTCGTATGCGTTGTTTTCTGTAGTGTAGATTAATAATAAGGCAGATAAAACTCTGCGGTCCCCTTTCACAATTCATTTATTGATTCATTTCCAGTTATTACAACTAAGGGAAAAATACTATGCCATTGAAATCGATCCAGTCCTAACAATAGAAGAGAAATACCCTTACATGGTAGAATGGTGAGTGGAGATATTGGGGGTAAGTGGGTACAAGTGGGGGCGTGGGGAGGAGCCAGAGGTCAGCAGGAAAAGAAATTCCAGCCACAACCAAGAACCTTTCCACCTATTTAAAATAATAATAATAATAATAAAGGCTAAGTTCCCAAAGGGGTAAAGACTCTAGAATTTTTTGTGTTTAATATCTAATTGCAGAGAAGGTACCACCTACCTGAATGGGTGGGAGTTCCCCTCCACCAGTGAAATCCCAGGCTTAGCCCCATTTCCCGTGCCTAATTTCCAGTATGTCATAGTGTCACAGGCAGATAGGGCAGATTTAATGCTTTGTCAAGTCAATTAAGCCCCTACTGTGTGCCAGGCACTGTGCTAAGCACTGGGGATACAAAAAGAGGCAATTAGCCCCTGCCCTCAAAGAGCTCACAGTCTATTGGGGAGACAATGTGCAGACAACCATGTTTAAATAAGATATAGATACAGGAGAAATTGGAGTTTATCTCACCCGGGAAGGCACTAGCCTTTTGGTGGCGAAACAAACCTACCTGGTCTTTTTTTTTTTTACTGCTCACTAACCTTAAATTACAGTCATTGCATTACATAAGACTCTCCCTATAAATATATCCAGTAATAGCAATAGTGGTTGTTATTATTATCATGTGCTATAATAGCTAGCATTTATACAGTGCTTTAATGGGATATTTACTTTACAAATGATATTTGTAACAACCCTGGGAGGTAGGTGCTATTATTCTGCTCATTTTACCAGTGAGGAAACTGAGGCAGACTGCAATTAAGGCCACATAGCTAGTGAATGTCAGAGACTAGATTTGAACTCGGGTCTGCAATTAAGGTCACATAGCTAGTGAATGTCAGAGACTAGATTTGAACTCGGGTCTTCCTGACTTCAGGCCAGCGCTGTCTCCACTGAACTCCCAGGGGCCTGAGAAGAAAGAACAAGGCCATGGATTCTGATGGATTGTGCCTGTCTCCTCTCCCATGAAGTCCAATGGCCTTAGTTTTTCAGCTTTCTTTTCTATAAGAGCAGGAGACCAGACCACGTAATTTTTAAGGTCGCTCCACCTCCAAAACTGGAATGATTCTCTGAGACTTTCCTCCAGCTTTTCTTTATCTTTTAGAAAATAGAAAAGTAGGGGCAGCTAGGTTGCACAGTAGATAGACCTCTGGCCTTGGAGTCAGGAGTACCTGAGTTCAAATTTGGCTTCATACACTGGACACTTACTAGCTGTATGACCCTGAGCAAGTCATTTAACCCTGATTGCCTCACCAAAAAAGCAAAAAAAGAAAAATAGAAAAGGAGCAGAACCCTTGGTGTTAAATTTAATGCTTAACTTCAAAAAATTCAAAGCCAGGTTGTTAGCCTAAGTGTCTCAGCCAGAAGAGCCTAGCCCTGACCTCCCGGATGTCCATCCGACCAAGTGGGAATCACTGGGAGAGAGGAGGCTGGTTCTGCTGCCACAAGAGCAGTGACATCCTCCACGTGGGCCTGAGCAGGTGAGGGAAGGCCTCCCAAAGATCATCAGAGTCAAAGCCAGGGTTTTCTTGTTCTCGGGGGTAGGAGTGAGACTGCAGAGTCCACTCAGAGATTCTTAGAGAACGAGAGGCGGCTTGGAGCTAGGAGAGCAAACTTGACATTTCCCCCTTTTACCTTGAACCCAGGTACACAAAGTCGCACACTTTGCTGGTGGAGCAGGCGCTACAGAAGAGCAAGCTGCAGGGAGTCGTGGAAGAATCCGATGTGATGCTCAAGTAAGCTCAGCCATCCAGGAGGGCAGTTATGGGGAAGGCTGGACAGCGGAGGGGTGAACGAGCCAGCCTGCGAGGGAGGAAACCCGCATTCAGGTCTGCTCTCTGCACATCCTGGCAGTGGGAGCCTGGCAGGTCACGTCAGCCGTCAAGGCAGTAGACTCCTGAGGATTTTATGTGGTCTGCAGCTGAGACTGGTTCCCCAGGATTCTCTAAGTGTACCATCATGTCATCTGCAGAGAGGGATAGTTTTGGAGGCAATGATTGCCTGTCTTCATCCCTTCAATTCCTTTTTCTTCTCTTATTTATAATTATTTCAACTAGTTTTGTAATTGATTCTCCAGGATTCTCTAAGTCTACCATCATATCATCTGCAAAGAGGGATAATTTTATTTCCTCATTGCCTGTTCTAATTCCTTCAATTTCTTTTTCTTCTCTTACTGCTATAGCTGACATTTCTAGTCCAATATTGAATAATAGAGGTGATAATGGACAGCCTTGCTTCACCCTGGATCTTATTGAGAAGGCTTCATCCCCATTATAAATAATGCTTGCATTTGGTTGTAGATAAATACTACTTATTTGAAGAAAAGTTCCACTTATTCCTATGCTTTCTAGTTGGGTTTTTTTTTTAGTAGGACTGGGCATTGTATTTCCTTAAAAGATTCTTCTGCATCTATTAATATAGTGATGATTTTTGTTGTTTTTTGTTATTGACATGGTCAATTATGATTATAGTTTTCCTAATATTAAACCCGCCCTGAATTCCTGGTATAAATCCCATCTGGTCATAATGTATGATCTTTGTGATATATTGCCATAATCTGGCTAGTGTCTTATTTAAAATTTTTGTTATCGACATTCATTAAGGAAATTGGTTGGTAGTTTTCTTTCTCTGTTTTTGCTCTCCCTGGTTTTAGGTATCACAGCCATATTTGTGTCACAGAAGGAATTTGGTAGGGCACTTTCATTACCTATGTTGTTTTGGGGGTTTTTTTGTAAAAAAAAAATTATCTTTAGCGTTCTTTTCTTTTTAAATTTTGAGTTCCAAATTCCTTCTCTCCCACCTCCTTCCCCACCCACTGAGAAGGTAAACAGTATGATATTAATTATGCATGTAGAATCATGCAAAACATATTTCCACATTAGCCATATTGCAAAAAAAGGGCAAAAAAAAAGTTAAAAAATTTACTCCAATTTGAACTCAGAGTTCATCAGTTTTCCCTCTGGAGGTGGAGTGCATTTTTCATCAGAAGTCATTGGGAATTGTAATTAGATGATTGTGTTGATCCGAGTAGCCAAGGAGCCACATCTTTCACAGGTGATCACCATTACCACACTGTTGTCACTGAGCACAGTGCTCTCCCGGGTCTTCTCACTTCACTTGGCATCAGTTCACAGAGGTCTCACCATATTTTTCTGAAACCACCTGCTTGTCATTTCTTATGTTACATCCAGTCCCATCCATCACAATCACATGCCATGACTGGTTCAGCCAGTCCTCCACTGATGAGCATCCCCTGGATTTCCAGTTCTTTGCTGTATTTTCTGTATGCATAGTTCAGTTACACTGAGTAAGTTACATTTCAGTACACAGCTGAGTGTGTATATGTAGTCTTCCTTCTCTGAACCAGTTCCAATGAGAGTGAGGTTCGAGCATTGCCTACTGCCCCACCCATTTTCCCCTCCACTCTAAAAGCTCTTCCTTTCACGGCTATTTTATGTGAGTTAATTTCCTCCATTCTACTTTTCCCAGTGCATCCCTTTTTCTTACCCCTTCACTTGTTTGTGGAGATCATTCCAACATAATCTACTCACACCCATGTCCTTTGCCTATGTGAACTCCTTTTAACTGCCCTAATAATATGGTGTTCTTAGGAGTTACATGTATCATCTTCCTGCATAGGAATGTAAACAGTTTAATGTTACTGAGTCTCATAAGAGACATAAAATTTCTCTTTCATGTCTACCTTTTTATGCTTGAGTTTTGTGTTTAAAAGTCAGATTTTCTATTCAGCTGTGGTCTTTTCATCAGGAATGCTTGAAAGTCCTCTACTTCATTAAGTGTCCATTTTTCCCCCCAAGGTATTGTACTCAGTTTGCTGGGTAAGTTATTGTAGCTACCTTGCTTTCTGGAATATCTTTTAATGTAGAAGCTGCTAACTTGTGTAATCTTGACTGTGGCTCCTCAATATTTGAATTGTTTCTTTCTGGCTGCTTGCAATATTTTTTCCTTGACCTGGGGGCTCTGGAATTTCCTACAATATTCTTGGGAGTTTTCATTTTGGGATCTCTTTCAGGAAGTGATTAGTGGATTCTTTCAATTTCTATTTTACCTTCTGGATCTAAGATATCAGAGCAGTTTTCCTTATAATTTCCTTATAATTTCCCTTATAATTTCTTGAAATGTGATGTCTAAGCTCTTTTTTTTTTTATCATGGCTTTCTGGTAGTCCAATAATTCTTAAATGATCCCTCCCCCAATCAGTTGTTTTTCCTGATACGATATTTTACATTTTCTTCTATTTTTTTTTTCATTCTTTTTTGTTTTATTGTTTCTTGATGTCTTGGTAAGTCATTAGCTTCCACTTTGCCAGTTCTAATTTTAAGAAGTTCTTTTCTTCAGTGAAATTTTGTGCTTCTTTTACCATTTGGCCAATTTTGTTTTTTAAGGTGTTATTTTCTTCAGTATTTTTTGTGCCTCTTTACCTAGCTATTTATTCTTTTCTTAATAATTTTCTTGCATCATCCTCATTTCTTTTCCCAATTTTTCCTCCACTACTCTTATCTCTTTCTTTTACTCTTCCAAGAATTCTTTTTGGCCTTATGTCCAACTGCATTTTTTTAAGGCTTTGGTTGTAGCTGTTTTCACATCATTATCTTCTACGGAGTTTATGTCTCGGTCTCCCCTACCACCATAGTAGCTTTTTTATGGTGTAGTTCTTTTTTTCTTGTTTGCTCATTTTTCCAGCCTGTTTCTTGACTTGGCACTTTATGTTAAAGTTGGACTCTGCTCACCTGGGATGGGGGGGGCATTGTGCCAAGCTTCAGGCTGATTCTGTGCTACCATTTTCAGAACTAGTCCTAGGAGTCTGCAAATTTGGGTGTCTCCAGTGTGGTGTGATCCTGGGAAAGGTGTGCTCACAGCTCTCTTGGCCTGTGCTCTGATCTTTACCTAGGAAGGGCCCCTGCTCCCCTGCAGCTACAAGTTATAGTGTTTCTCTTGGTCCTGGAACTGTGACCAGGGCCCCTGCTCCCTTGTGACTGAACACAAGGCCTCTTTTCCACCTTGAAACTGTGACCCAGAACTGTGTATGGACAGTGGAGTTGCCAGTCAGCATTAGCTGCACCCAGTGCCTGCAAAGGGTCCCCTGTAGTTGCTTTGTAACCTGTTGTCTGACTCCCATACCATCTCTGGGCTAAGAGTTCCCGAAGCTGCTGCTGCTGCTGCTGCACTCTGGGCTGGTCCCTACCCTGTGTCAGAGTTCCCCTGCCAACTTTCTAATTTGTCTTAGGCTGGAAAAATGTCTCACCCTGACTTTCTGTTGGCTGTGCTGCTCTAAAATTAGATTTGAGGTGTTATTTTAAAGTTGTTTGGAGGGGAGTGTTGGGAGTTCAGCTGGGGCTGTTGCCTCTAATCCATTATCTTAGCACAGTCCCCCCCAGTTTTTACTTGTTTTGTTTTGTTTTGTTTTTCAGATAGGTTATACAGTTTTGAGATTAGCTGTTCTTTAAATGTTTGGTAGAATTTACTTGTAAATCTGTCTGGTCCTGGGGATTTTTTCTTAGGGAGCTCATTTATGGCTTGTTTGATTTCTTTTTCTAAGAGTTATATAAGTATTGTATTTCCTCATCTGTTAATCTGGGCAATTTATAATTTTGTAAATATTCATCCATTTCACTTAGATTATCAGTTTTACTTGCATGTAATTGGGCAAAATACCTCCTAATAATAGCTTTGATTTCATCTTCCTTAGTGATGCATTCATCCTTTTCTTTTTTTATATTGGTAATTTGTTTTTCTTCTTTTTTTTTAATCAACTAATGGTTTGTATATTTCATTGATATTTTTTTTATAAAACCTGCTCCTAGTTTTATTAATTCAGTGTGTTTCTTTTTACTATCAATTTTATTCATTTCTTTTTTTAATTTTAGGATTTCTGTTTTGGTGTTTAGGGCTTTTTAATTTGTTCTTTTTTTAGTTCTTATTTTTTTAGTTGCATGCCCAGTTTATTAATCTTCTCCTTCTCTTTTTTATTGATATAAGCTTTTAGAGATATAAATTTTCCCTAAGGACTGCTTTGGTTGCATTCCACAAATTTTGGTACATCGTCTCATTGTTTTCATTATCTTTAATGAAATTATTGATTTTTTTATACTCATTCTTTAGAATTAGATTAGTTTCCAATTAATTTTTAATCTGTGCTTCCAAGGCCCTTTTTTGAATGTAATTTTTTATTGCATTAAGGTCCTAGAAGGGAGCATTTAACATTTCTGCATTTGATTGTGAGGTTTTTATGCCCTAATACAGTCAGTTTTTGTAAAAGTGCAGTCTACAGCTTAGAAAAAGGTATACTCCATTCTGTTCCCATTCAGTTTTCTCCAGCTCTTCTCAGCTTCTTTCTTACATACTTTATAGTTAGATTGATCTCGTTCTGGGAGGGGAAAGGCGGGCTTCTCCACTAGTCTCTTTCTTCCTGTGACTCATTTAACTGTTCCCCACATGCTACATTTTGAATAGCAGATCGCTTTAATTAGCAGAAGAGAGTGAGGAGTCTTTCTCTGCTTGTTGCTGGAAGCAGAAGTAGGAGTAGGTGGCATGTGAGGAAACATGGCCACCACTGAGAGCAGTGCGGGCAGCTTTGACCGGTGGTGGGTGCCTCCCACCCCTCCTTGGGGTTCTTCACGCTGCAAATCAGCTTTGAGGTAGAGGCTTTTCAGTGATGCCAAGGTCCTTTCCAGCTCTGGTTCTTTTGGTCTTATTTGACTTTTTTGTGACCCCATTTAGGGTTTTCTTGGCAAAGATACTAGAGTGGTCTGCCATTTCCTTCTGCAGCTCATCTTACAGAAAACTGAGGCAAACAGGGTGACGTGACTTGCCCAAGGTCACACAGCTTTAGTAAGTGTTTGAGGCCACATTTGAAATCATGAAAATGAGTCTTCCTGACTCCAGGCCGCCTGGCTGCCCTTGAATATTGGATATCGAGTCTCAGTTTTAGAAAGGAAATCCTTGAATTGGTGTCCCCTTATTTTGCTCAGGCGCCCGTTTGCAGCTTTCTTACCAAATTAAAATCTTGATGGCATTATTCTTTTATGAAAGCTTCCTCATGTCTGGCAGGGCCTGGACTCAGGGTCCTCAGGACTCCCTGTGGCACAGAGGTGACCCCAGGAGGATCACACTGAGCAGCTGTGCCAGGCCAAGGGACTCTTCTGATGGCCAAGGACCAGCCTGGCCCAGTGCAGGAGGGCTCAGTCTCTTGGGGGGGAGGACAGAGGGGATGCCAGAAGCAGAGATGTTGTTTGATCCCTGACCCCTAAAACTGCCTACTGAAGGCCACAGGAGTGGTAATCAGCACCGGTGGAGGGAGTTCCCACACCACTGAAATCAGAGATCTCTGAAGTCTGAAGACCGGATGAGGATGAAGTGTGTCTAGCAGAGTGGAAGGGAAAGGCTCGTTTAACTGCCGTTTGTCAATAGAAGATTGTTCTCTCTTCTGCATTCCTAATATTTTTTAGTGTTCTTGGGAAAACTAGCATATGTTAAAAGGTTTATAGGATCATAGATTTTGTAACATATCATTTAAATAGGGCACAGCTTCAGGGGCAGACAAGGCAGCAAGCTTGTTGGGGTGGGTGGGAGGAGAAGAGGGGAGGGAGAGAAAGAGAAAGGATGGAAATAGAGAAAGGGAGGGAGAGGTGAGAGAAAGAAGGAGAGAGAGAGAAAGGGAGGGGGAGACAGAGAAAGGAAAGAGGGAAGGAAGGAGGGAGGAGGAGGGGGAGAAACAGAAAGGATGGAAATAGAGGAAGGGAAGGAGAGGAGAGAGAGAGAGAGAGAGAGAAAGGGAGGGGAGAGGGAGTAGGAGAGGGGAGGGAGAGAAAGAGAAAGGAGGGAGAGGAGAGAGAAGGAGAGAGAAAGGGAGGGGGAGGGGGAGGAGGAGAGGGATAAAGGAAAGAAAAGGAAGAGAGGGAAGGAAGGAGAATAGAGGGGAGGGAGAGGGAGAGAAAGTATGGAAATAGAGAAAGGAAGGGAGAGGTGAGGGGGGAGGGAAGGGGAAAGGAAAGAGAAAAAAGAGAAGGAAGGAGGGAGGAGAAGAGAGCGAGTGAAAAAGAAGGAGGGAAGGGGATAGAGAAAAGAGGGAGAAAAAGAGGACATGGGGAAAGGAGAGAGAAAGGGGAAAGGAAGGGGGCAAGAGAGAGGGGGAGGGTTGGGAAGGAGAGGGGAGTAAGGGGAGGAGAGGAGGAGAGAGAGAGGAGTCAGGAAAAAGAAAGGTGGGAAGGAGAAGGAAGGTAGGGCAGAGCTAAGCTCCAGGTGAGGCCCAGCTCTGGCTGGGCTGGCTAGCATTTAGCATGAGCTGTTGGGAGCTCTGAGACGTCGGCTTCCCCTCCCCCATAGGCAGTGGCTGTTCCAAAAGGTGTTGCCAGGGGCAGCTGTCAGTGAGTCGTTTTTTATCATCTGCACCCCTAGCACAGCTACTAGCTTGTGGCTGGAGCAGGCGCCTGCCCTGCTGCAGAACAACCAAAGCCCTTTCTGGATGCAGTATTCTGTAGATGAACATGGATTGTAAATCACAAAAGGTTCCCAAAAAATAGGCCCTCAACCTCCTGAGATGGGAAGGAATTATGGCTTGTCCCTTCCCTTTCACTGCAGAGGCAGTGAGCTGCAGGGAAGCACTGGACTTGAAAGCCCGGGAAGCCTGGGTTCAAGTCTGGCTGAGGGACCCACTCACCCTATGTGAGCTTCTGTTTAATGGGAGGTACCTGCCCCTTAGGACTGGTGGGGGGATCTGACAGAGAGAGAGAGAGAGAGAGAGAGAGAGAGAGAGAGAGAGAGAGAGAGTGTGTGTGTGTGTGTGTGTGTGTGTGTGTGTGTGTGTGTGTCTGTGTATGTGAGTGTGTGTGAGTGTGTGTGTGTGTGTGTGTGTGTGTGTGTGTGAGAGAGAGAGAGAGAGAGAGAGAGAGAGAGAGAGAGAGAGAGAGGGAGAGAGAAAGAAAGAAAGAAAACTGCTTGGTAAAATCTCAAGCATCATTCAGCCTGCATTAAAAAAAAAAAGATTTAATTACATAAAATCGATTCCGTCTCCAAACTTTGCAGGGAAGGCTATGAACATTTCTTTGACAAACTCAAAGAACATAACATCCCCGTGTTCATATTTTCTGCCGGTATTGGAGATGTCCTGGAAGAGGTGATCTGCCAGGCCGGGGTCTATCATAACAACATCAAAGTCGTGTCCAACTTTATGGATTTTGATGACAATGTAAGTAGACTCCATTTCTCCAGCTGTGTGGTATAAGGGAAATGGTGTCTGGGAGAGCTGGGGCCAAATTTTTAATAAAGTAAATGCATCCGCCTGCTCTCCACCCAAAGGGCAGAACTCACACGGCCCATGCTGGCGGTTTTGCCAAATGAAGATTAGTCATCTTTTTGGTGCTCTGTCAGCTCCAGAAAACTGTACCAGAGCTCTTTACTTAATTTAAAAAAAAAAAGACTCACCTTTTATCTCTAAACCATAGATAAAATATGTCAGGGGTGAGATAGAGAGCTTCTTTCAGAGGAACTTACTTTCTTGGACTCAAGAAACTTTCTGTAGTTGGGGAGGAAGAGAAAGGGGAGAATCCCTGCTCTGAGACCTTGGGTTCTTCAGTACAGATGAACAAGCCAGGTAGGGAGAGATGTAGTAAGCACTCACCACGTGCCCAGGCATGGGGCATGCAGACTGTATCCACAGTCCTGCCCTCGAGGAGCTTACGTTCTCCTGGGGAAGACGCACCACCAACCCCAGGCTGATTTGGCATTCCCATGGGGTGGCCGGCCAATGGGATTCTGTACCTCCAATTCACCCCACAACTCCACATCCTGTGAATTTGGGGTGATCTCTCTAAGTGCTTTGAGAATGACAGTGATACAGATGAAGGGTGGATTTCTCCCTCCGTGAGGGAAGGCTAGCAGTTCCTGTGGGGTGGCTGTTTCCACCGTGCCTTGGTACAGGCCAAGGTTCCTGGGGCTGACTCCTAGGTTAGCTAGTCTGGTCTCTTGTATCACAGAGCCCTGCCTGGCCTCTCCCCATATCCACCCACAAAACACTGCATCCCCGAAAAGCCAGGCTGTCCTCCAGAGCAGCAGACCAGGCGGCTCATGGGGAAGCCCAGGAACAGGAAGGCGTCCCTCTGACGGAGAACGTCTGCCTTTCTTTAGGGGGTGATTAAAGGATTTAAGGGAGAGTTGATTCATGTGTTCAACAAGCATGATGGTGCCCTGAGAAACACACAGTACTTTAAGCAGCTGAAAGACAACAGTAACATCATCCTGCTAGGAGATTCTCTGGGAGACTTGAGGATGGCAGACGGTGTGGCCAACGTGGACAACATTCTGAAAATCGGTTATCTCAATGACCGTGTGAGTACCCAGAGCCACGATGCTCCTTCTTGTCATCTCTAAAGCCCGGGTGTGATCTGTGGGGTGCAGGGGGGGGCTCTGATGCTCGTGCCACGGAAGGGGCCATCCCGGGTCTCTTGGCAAGCCTCGATTTGACCCAGCACCATCACTGCCCAAAGTCCATTTCCAGAAAACAGCAATACACGCAGGATGGTAAGTCAACCAGCGAGCATTTTGTGAGCACCTGCTAGGTGCCAGGTCCTGGGATACAAAGCCCTGTCCAGAAGGATCTTACATCCTGGCAGGAAGACAACACAAACACCCGTGAGTGATCGCAGAGCATAGATACAAGATCAATACCAGGTCTGGGGGTGGGGCAGCACAACAAAAGCTGGGAGAGCCCAGGAAAGGCTTTGTGAAGAGCATGGCTCTTGAACTGAGCCTTGAAGGAAGCTGGCCTTTCCAAGAGCCCAGGTGAGGAGGGAGGGCATTCCGGGCATCGGGCTCAGCCGGCGCAAAGGCGTGGCGGTGGCTTGTGTGTAGGAGAGTGACAAGGCATCAGCGTGGCTGGAACGTGTGGTGCCATGGGAAGGCCGGAAAGGCCGGCAGGGGCGGGGGCTCCTAGCTTCCCCCTTCTCTGCTCCCACAGCCCCTCCCACCCCAGGTTGGGTCCTCAGTCTTCCCAGCAGGCCGTCCTCTGCTCACTAGGGAAAGTTATTTTCCTTAGGCTAGTGTGAGCCCGCTTCCCTCTGACCTGGAGGACCGAATAGAGAATCCTCTTCGTGGCACCACTCCAGCCACGCTGGATGCCCACACCGGGGGCGCTGCCATCCCCTCCCTGTCTTGTCTGGGCGTGGAAGTTGTGCAGTGTCTCTCTCCGTTAGACTGCGGCCTCCCTGAGGGCAGTGGCTGTTCTTGCCTTTCTTTGTAAGGCACTCAGCACTGTGCCTGCACGTAGTAGGGCTGAAAAACTGACTGGCTTGTGTCTCCAGGGCTCAGCACATAGTAAGTGCTTCATAAATGCTTGTCGACTGACTGCCAGCCCAGCAGAGGAGTTTACATTGGACCCCCCCTCCGCCTTTCCCAGCTATTTTTTAAAGATGGCGGCAGAGTCGAGGCCTCTCAGCCAACGAAGGCCGAGGTGGTTCCTGTGGAAGCAAGAGGAGGGAGGGGCTGTGTTCTGTTTGGGGAAGGCTCCTCGGTGGCCAGGTGGCCTTAGGGCAGTGACTGCCTGAGCCAAAGGCCAGGAGACCCAGCCTGGCCCGCCTGGCCACTCACTGTCTGGTTTGTCTTTGCTTGGCCCCTAGGTGGATGAACTCTTAGAAAAATACACGGACTCTTATGATATCGTCCTAGTGAAAGAGGAATCCCTGGCATTGGTCAGCTCCATCCTCCAGAAGATCCTCTGAGCAAGTGGCAGGCAGGGAGCCTTCCTCCCTGAGGACGCTGGTGGCCTCGCTCCTCGCTGTCCTCCGGCCTGGGAGGCTCAGCTTCCCATAGCTTGGCTGCCCTCTGATCATATTCCAAATAACATAGCGACTCCATCAAGGGGATGCTTTGAAATAAAAGTCTTTTCACCTTTCGCCACACTCCCAGCCACAGATTGCAAGAACTCACAAAAAGACGCAAGCCCCGGGAAAGCCAGATTGCAGAAACAACTGCCTCCTTGCCCTCCCTCTCCAGAAGTGGATTGCATTTTCATTTTATCATGGATGTTTTAAGGAATGTCGTAGTGTGTGTTGTGATTCCCAGGGTTTGAGTCATATCTGTTGTTACAGGGGGGATGCTCAGGTTTTAATGTTGCCTTTTTTGTACATTTTGTGTATTCCCCCACCAGTCAAGACAGCCTTAGCCAGGCATCCCGACTGCAGCCTGCGGCAGAACTGACTCTAAAGTCATATAGCTGATCCTCAGGGTAGCCCGATTCGCTGTGTCTGGTCAGTCATTCTGGTGAAATGTGACGGCCCACGATAGAAAGGCCAGCCCGTGGTACCCCTGGGGAAAACCCTGGGCTGGGCCTGGTTTATATGGGCACACCAACAACTAGCAGTTTGAGGCGGCGGGAAAGGTGCTCAACTTCAACTCTTGATGGAAAAGAAAATGACCAGGGTCTCTGGGGTCAGGTCGTCATTGGTCATGGTTCTGGGGCTGGAAGGGAGCCTTGGAGACCCTTGCATTTTACTGAGGTGGCATCTCGGGCCCTCAGGGAGTGACTCACGGAGCCAGGCTCTGCAGTTGGGGCCCCCACCTCTGCCGTCTCTGCTGGACCAGTGGCCGGCTCGTTGGACCAAGATTCTGTAAGCAAGGTGTGGTCACCAGTTCCTGAAAAATAACCGCCAGGGGAGGGACAGGAGGAGGCCAGAAGTTTCTGAGTCCTTTGAAATTCAACAATAGCTTTTCCCAGAGAAACAAGGCTGTAAATGGTGGTTAGGTTCCCAGATCAACGCACGTGATTGTGTTTGAGCTGTAATGTGCTGAAATGCCATCCGTTTGCCGTGGAAAGAGGTAGAAGAGGTACTGTCGGAATGCTTCAGAACAGGGCAGAGAATAAATTTCAGATATGGTTAGCTTGAGCATCAGTGCCTCAGACGGGATCTCATGATGAGAAACATATATGAACTGTGCACATGTGTGAAAAAGCATCGAGCGTGGATTAGTCTGGCCAGCCCTGGAGAGGCACAGAGCGCAGCAGCCACCATTTTGGAGCGGACGTGGAGGGCTTCAAGCAGAAGCTTGTTGGGGCAGTGATTGAAGGGAGTCCTAGACAGTCAAGTTGGAGCGGCCTTCAAGGCTCCATGCTTCCCTCTCCTTTCTCCTTCATCCATCCAGCTGCCAGAATCCTCGTGCTCGTGTCGCTGCTCTGCTCAGAAAAGTCAGTGGCTCCCTAGGACCAGCGGAGGAGAGGGGGAGTTCCTTTGACTGAGGCCCAGGAGGTGAAGGGATGTACTTGTCCCAGGTCACCAGCAGGATCCCCGCTCGAGAGCTGGAGGCGACCTTGGCATCCGTCTGATCAGCCGTGTCCCACTCTCCATGACCCCCTTTGCGGTTTTCTTGGCAACAATACTGGACTTATTTGCCGTCTCCTTCTCTAGCTCATTTTACAGATGAGGCAGCTGAGGCAAACAGGGTGAAGTGACTAGCCCAGGGTTACCCAGGCAGTGTCCGAGGCTGGATTTGAACCTGGGAAGATGAGTCTTCCTGCCTGCAGCCCCAGCACTCTGTGCACAATGGCACCACCTAGTGGCCCCCATCTAATCTACCTCCTTGTTTTATAGATGAGACCTATGTTCCCCAGGGAAGGGGTTACTTACCCGGGTCCCTCTGGTAGGTGGCCTTTGAACTCACATCCTGGACTCCAGAGCCACTCTTCTTCCCCGCTGTACCAAACTGCCTCCTAAGGTCCTCCAAGATCTCATGGGAGCCTTAGGGCAGCACTTATTAAGCATCTACTGCGTGCTCGCCCTGGGGCTAGGAAGGCAAGAATCACCCTGCCCTCTGGAATCTGCCCCCTCCCCCTCCCCACCCAGTGGCCCATTGCTGAGGCCCTAGGAGAGCCCCAGGGTCAAGGTTAGAACCCTGCAGGCCAGGGGTTTCCCAGTCCTCCCAGGGAGGAGCAGCCTGGTGGAAGAGCACAGAAGCATGTCACTCCCCTGCAGGCTTTTTCTCAAGGTGAGCTTGCTGTGAGGAGCTGGGGCTTCCGTGCTTTCATTCCCAGGTCCGCCCTGAACACCCAGATCTCTCTGAATCTCAGCCACCTCATCTGTAAAATGGGCTTGGTGATAATAATCATAGGCCCTACCTCACAGGTAAACCCTGAGTGCCAAAGAAAATGGAAGTGGGCGGGGGGAGTGTGCTTCGGTGTAAGAAGCACAAGAGGGGAAGCCTGGTCTACAGACCGCCTTGTGCAGGAGTGGATAGGGCTGAGGAGAGCACAGGGTTAGTGTCAGGAAGACCTGGATTCGAATCCTACCTGAGACATGCACTACTTCTGTTGCATCTGTAAAACGGCTTGGAGCCCCCAGGTGCCCCAAGTTGACTCAGAGACAGCCCCTCATGCACTGGAATCTGCAAAGCACTTTATGCATCATATCTCCTTGGACCCTCATAGCTCCAGGGAGCACCAGGAAGGAGGTGATGGTGGTTCAGCCACGTCCAACTCCTCAAGGGCCTGTTTGGGGTTTTCTTGGCAGAGATACTGGAGCAGTTTGCCATCTCCTTCTCCAGCTCATTTTACAGATGAGGAAACTGAGGCCAACAGGGTGAAGTGACTTGCTCAGGGTCACACAGCTAGATTTGAACTCAGGTCTTCCAGACTCCAGGGCCTGTGCTGTATCCACAGTGCCACCTCACTGCCCTACAAGGAAGGTATTTGGTGGGTTTTTATTCCCATTTTTACTGATTCTCCAAAAAGGCAAAGGGACTTTCCCAAGGGCAGAGATGCTGGTGGCAGAATTTGAACCCAGTCCCTACTGACTCCAGATGAGGGCTCTTTAACCTGTACCACACTGTGTTGTTGCACACTGGCATTCTAATTGTGTGTGTGTTCAAAGGGGAAGCCTCATTGAAAAGAATAAAAATGGCATGTGTTTCGCTGTGTCTCATTCATTGACTGGCATTCGTGTCTCCTTCCCTCCTGCCTTTTATTCTGAATTTAGGCGATTTTGCCCTAAAATGAGGACAATGGGTTGAGGAGTCAGAGCTGAAAGAAACCAAGTGGACCAACTCCTCATTTTATAGATGAGAAGACTGAGGACTGGCCCAAGGTCACCTGGTAAGTAGCAGAAGTAAGATTTGAACCCAGATCTTCCATTCTGCCATCCTGGAGCTGGTCCTTCGGCAGGGTTCCAGGTTTCCCATGCTCATTTTACTCAAGAGAGGCTTTTTTTTCAAAGGCTGGACACTGGCCTGAGCCTTGGCCTCGAGTCACAGGAGCCACTCTCACCATTCCCAGCTGACGTGGGCCAGACCACGAAGGAGGGAGCTCGAGGCCAAGGCTTCCACTGTTCTGAGGGATTAGTAATTGTCCCATTCCACCTCAATAATAAGCATGGTGCTTTCATGGAGTTACAAATAGAAGGGACCTCCCAGATCATGGTGTTTCATCCCCTCATCATAAATGACAAAACGCGGGCCAGACAAGTTAAGCTGCTTATCCAAAGGCACACAGCTAACCTTTATCAAGCACCTCCTAGGTGCCAGGCACACTGGGCCAAGGGCAGCAGAAAGAAAGGCAGCCCCTGCCCTCAAGGGAAGAAAACAGGGAGCTAAAAAGTGAGGGGGTGTACCCTGCCCGGTGCAAAGTGCAGAGTCCAGAGCAGAGCTGGAGGACGCACAGCCTCATCCCGGGCAGGACCCTTCCCTTCTCTCCCGTTTACGGCCCCAGACCCTGCTGATCGGCGTTCCTTCTTGCACCACCTACTCCAGGCACACCCAGACCTTTCTCCTTCCCTCCCCTTTTCCTGAAGCCCCCCACCACCGCAGCGTTCCTTCGTAAAGAGCTTCTTACTCAGATGAGGTTTCCCTGGAGCAGGCAGCAGAGACAGCTAGAGTGCTGCCTATTGACTGAGGAGCCAGAGGCATCCCCGAGCTGATCTCCTCTCTCCACCTCTGCCCCCCATACCCTTGGGGGTCACGACCCAAATCCTATCCTATCTTCAATAACATTTATTAGTTCAATAAATAGTTACCAAGCACCTCCTGTGTGCCAGGCACTGTGTTAACCTCCTGGGATACAGACAGAGGCAAAGACGGGCCCTGCCCTCATGGAGCTCACAACTGAAGAGGACGAACTGGAGGGAAGACCAGCCCTCCCACTTTACAGATGAAGAAACTGAGGCTCCCCAAGTCTAAATGACCTGCCCAAAGTCACGCTGCTGTGGTCCTTTTCCAGTCTGGCACGAGCATAAGTTCTTTGAGAGCAGGGACTGTTTTTATCTTTGTAGCCCCAGTATGGTACAATGGGTAGCACCAGCACCACACAGGAAGACCTGGGTTCAAGTCTCACTCCTGATGTGGGATTGTTTCCCTGGGCAAGTCACGTACCCCCCTCAGTGCTAAGCAGCCCCAGAGGGGGTCCTGCACCCTGAGGCAATCCTTCTGGTTCAGACTGTCAGCGCCTGCATTGGGGGGAGCCTTATTTGGGTAGCACATGAGTGACTGTGCAGAAAGGAGATTAAAGCAGCCGCACATGAAAGATGACGGGAGAGGGGGACGGAGGCAAAGGGAAGGGGAGAGAGGGCACAGCTCAATGGGAGGTGGGCAGCGCTGAATGGCTCCCAAGCTCCTATGAAAATGGAAAATGCTGGTCCCAACTTAGAGGCAGGGCTTCCAAGGAGGAGGGGCTGGGGCCTGCAGGGAGGGGAAGAGCATCATGCAGAGGAGAATGGGGGGAGGACCATGATCCCACCAGAACCTAAGATGGGGGAGGCTCCTGCTGAGAAGAGGGGGGAGGAAGAGGAGGGCAGGGAGGGGGAGGAGGAGGAGGGGGAAAGAAAGAGGAGGAAGGGGCTCTGCCCAAGGGGTCCATGCACAACAAAAGGTGGAACTCCTGATCCAATTTTTGTATGCATTCATTTAATTCAGTGTCTCCCCATAAGCCTGCCAGCCCCTTGAGGACGGGTTTTGCCTCTCTGTCTAACCCCGACACTCAGCACAGTGCCTGGCACACAGTAGGTGTCTAATAAATGCTTGTTGACTGACAGGCCCCACATGGGCCTCATCTGCAA